TTTGTTTATAAAAGTAAACAGAACAATAATCAGTAAGGCTCCCCTTTTGGTCTGTAAAAAAACAATGATTCACTTATACTTCCATGCAGATTCATTTTCCTGCATAAAGTGTTATTGTTTCAAGAAAAAGCTATCTTTGAAATTTAATTCAATACATTTTTAAAAGTATTAGCTACTTATATGCTTCATAAATGTCATTATTCCATCATATGCATGTTGTAATACTGAGAGAAAGTTATAAACACTTTGGTGAAAGTAGTTGGTTTAAATTATTAGAAAAATGTTTGTTTTCTTTTCTGCTAGTGTGCACTTATATGGCATATGTATGACTGTGGTCATTAATATTTATTGTGCTTATTTCATGTCTAATTTGCATATAGGTTCCACCTGGTGGAGTTCCTGTAGGTACTAGGTGTTAATTTTGTGTTACTTGTGTTAATCTTTTGTTAATTGCTGTGGTTCATTTCCTTGTTCTTTTTCTTTTCTATGAAAACATGTATGTATTATTTGGTTATCACTTGTAAATATATCTATAACTACTACATAAAAAATCAAATATATATTACAAATTCTCATAAAGTTTATGGAAATACATATCATAAAAAAACAAGTGAGGATTTCAGAAATTTTTACACTAAAATGAACTTACTTTAACTCAATTTTCCACAGACTTTCTGAAATTCTCTGGTATTTGCTTCACATTATTGGTACAGTACTGTGAAATTTTATAGAATCCAAATTTTATTGTTTACTCCTTAATGTTTAATTAGTTCATAACAAACATTAGTAATTCATCACCACATTCTAAGTTTGTAGTTGAACCCTTTTGAACTAGGTACTTTAAGAAACTACTGCCAATAATTAAAGCTGGCAGAAGAAAGCCAGCCAGGTAGCCAGGTGATGATAGCAATTAGATTCCACATGGCAGTCTGTGTGGTTTGAGTCCTGGGCCTGGCAACTTGAAAAACACCATGGGTATGTGTGCGTGCGCCAAAGGAGAATAGAGGAGAAGGGATTGTGGTGTGGTCATCCCCCTGGGGAGTGCTTGTTCACATTCTCTCTCTGTCTCTCTCTGGCAAGCACACATGCCCTATATCCAAAAAAAAACCCAAAAAATTGGCAGACAAGAAAAAATGTTTTGTCATTTTCCTGTTATGCTTTGTCATTCATATATATGCACATTTATGAGCATGTATACATGCACATATGTATATATAGTTCTGTGTTGTATGTGCATATATGTGAGCATGAATATAATCTTGTGTGTGTGTGTGTGTGTGTGTGTGTGTGTGTGTGTGTGATATCATATTTTGCTTCCCAATAGAAACTCTCAATTTGGACTCAAATTCAGTGGACCATCATATTTGTGTATCATCTTACACGATGGGATGCTTTTATTTTACATTCTTATGTGTATTTGCCTTTGTATTTGTATGTGTTTACTTTTGTATTCATTTTAATCTGTCCTTACTGATGCATGTCAGTTTATTTTACTCTCTCAAAAAATAATAAATCAATAAAATAATATACTATATTTTTGACAGGTACTAAATGTACATTTTGAGGAAAAATTAATTGTCTATGTCAGGAGAAGAAAGAACATTTATTAATCAGCTCTCTGTATACACATTGATTTACAACACTAAAATTTATTTTAAATAAACTTGTAGATAGAACAATTACATGAAATCTACTGTTCTTATCAAAATGTTAAATCAGAGCGTTATTTTCCATTAATGTCCTAGTCCATGAAATTTATGAACATGTAACTCTTACATGGTCAGGGGTATTACAGATATATAAATGTTGACTGAATTTGATTTTTTACCTGTAAAAATGGTAAAATTCAAATGTATTTGGGAAATCCAAACTATATATCAGAATGCAGCTTGATAAAAAAGAATCTAAGTTTGTAAAAGAATGATATTTGACTCAATATGCATATGTGTTCTTAACCAAAAATTTGACATACCTGGACACAGTTCTTGTTAAAGACTGCAAAATCTTTAAGTGTAAATACTGTCGATCAAAATAATAGACTTGTTGATACTGACATAGATTCGTTGAAATTTGATGTTGCTGTAACAATTTTTTTAAATCATAATATATTGTGGTATATTTTGGGGAACACCCATAGTATACCACATCTAAATCTAATCATATTCTTAATATGAATCTAAAATATTAAACTTTAGAGCGATAATTTGCTGAACATTTTTAAATCCATCAACTTAAATTTTTACACTTGAAATACAAAGATACTCACCAATAGCATCAATGTATGCTACATATAGATATAAAACAAGGTTATTATGCCATCTATGGTGCTAGCTTTGTGTACTGCATTATCTCCTTCATATAAGGCAAATAGTCTCCAGTTCTGGGACGTGTTAGTCTCTTGATAGTTATTCTAAACGGACTCAAGAAGTTGAAATTATTACCTTATCAAAGGTCTAATGTCTCTCTTAACTAATATGAGATCATCTGTTTCTGCAGTGGTTATGTGTTTATTTTCTTCAAATGGGAAACTTTTGACAATAAAAATCCTGTGATTTATATAATATGGGTAAAATGAAATAGTGTTATTTGTAACAGAACCATATTAAACTATAGTCACTGCATATGTGACTGGTTCCCAATGCAATATTCATTATAGTATTGCATAATTATTATAAAATAGTTGACATACAAAAATGCTTACCAGCATGTGGCAAATATATGATGGAATATACCTAACAAATTTACTAAGAGGTACTATAGTTGAATGGGAGGAAAGAAATTGAGAAGGGACTAAAATATAAAATAAGTAGTGAACGTCAAAAGGATTTGAACAGGAGGAAAGAGATAAATATTTGACAAATAAGTCATATAAGAAAACTTACACTACTTGTATAACCAGTGTCCAAAGGTATGAATAGAATGACATGTGTTAGATTGCACTATTGTTGGTATATGCTGAGACAAAAAAAAAATGTATGAGTTTAAAAACCTAATGATGGGGCCAGCAGGTGGCAAGGTGGTCAAGGCTCTAGACTCCCACATGGCTGGGTGTGGTTTATGTCCTGGGCCTGGTGAACTGCTTTCTCACCTCTCTCTCTCTATCTCTGTCTCTGTCTGATGAGTGCACATGGTCTATACAAAATTTACAAATAACGTGAAATAAAATTAAATAATTATTTTTCAAAAAAGCGTAACGATTAGGTAATACGAAGGAAGAACACTAAGAATATGTAGACACTTTTAGTTTTTTATTGAGTCAAACTGCATGCTAACTAAAATTTTTGATCATTTCTAGAGTAATTGGGTTCATCACAGTTGACTCCAAAGGATAACAAAATACTAAGAATTCTAAAAAAAAATGTGGCTCAAAATATGTTGAATTATATGCAATCTGGAATTTACTTTTGTAATAAGTAATTTAAGTTTTAAATAACTTACATATTTGATCAATCAAAAATACCATATTTTCTATCCATACTAGTAACTGAGTTTATGACACTGAAGTGAAAACACCTGAAGTACCTGCTTGAAAATATGAGCTTGTGAAGCCTCTTGATCTTTTTCTCTTAATATGTTTAATCATGGTGTAATAGAGCAATGGAGATGATTAGCTGTAGTATTATATTTTTTTAAATTTTTCCAGGATAAATGTAGCACTTTGGGCTTTAAATCAAAATCATGGACCTAGAATCTATCACGGAATGAAATATTAGAATATATAACTTATTTCTAGTTCAAATAAAATAATTAATTTTAAAGATGCTTGAAATATACCTATTACAGCATTTAAAAGATTTACAAATTAAAGTGTATATTGTGCATCGAATCCTGCCCACTTTTGTAATAGTAATATGCATTACAACTTTCTCATTCTATATAAAAATGTGTATTTTGTTTTGTTTTCCCCAAATTAACATGTGTTTAAGAATTCCCTATTCTCTGCTCTGCTCTCAGCCCTTAATACTAGACTAAGAAAAGTATTTCATGATATTAAATCACATTTACAGCATATTATGCATAGTATTTTAAAAAGTACCACACTCTATAAAAGTGCCTTATGTCCCTGTATTATCCCTTTCTCTCTCTCTCTCCCTTTTTTTTTTATAGCCTTCTGGATATGCATAATACTCCCCTTTTATTGGCTCCACCTGCCTTATCATTTCCACTCCAGAGATATTAATCCAAGTCTCCCAACTTTAAGTTTTTGTTCTTTCCCTGGGTTGCAGAGAATAATGTCTCATCTTTCAAGGGTTATAAAAAAATTGTGAAGGTTTCCAATGCAAGTCAGTCTTGAACTTTTGCTCTCTCTTTCTCTTTAAGTAGTACTATAGCTTTCTATACTCTTTTATCAGCTTCATATGCTAAATTCATATATATTTGCAATAAAATATATTGAAATATCTTCATTAAAACAAATATTATGTTTACCACTGGAGAACCTATGCAGCATTAAAATAGAAGCAAGCATGCCATTTCTAGGTAATAAATAATATAAAACCACTCATTTCTATGTTACATTGTGTCAACTGAGTAATAATATGCATATATGCAGTTTCTCACTACAAAGGAAGTAGTTGTAAAATCATAGAGCTAAAATTCTGTGCTCTGATTTCCTTTTCTTGCTTTTATTTCTTATTTCTCAGCTCCAATAAATTTCTCTGGAATATTGATATTAAATAATCGGTAAAATAGATTCAATTAGGTTGGATTGCTTTCTTTATATTTCCCGTTTCTTTTTTTTTCTTTTTTCACATGAATTACACTAGTATTTATTTCAGAATTTTGCTTTCCACAGTTTTGGTTACTGACTTTTGGATATTTTGGCTCATTTAGAGTAGATGGTTAAATATTTCTCTTCTTTAGAAATTCCTAATACACTCTTGTATATTTTTGTAACGAATTTTGAAGATTACTAGTCAGGTAATGACCTAATAGCTGCATTATTTATTCATCATTCTAAATAATGGCATTTCTTTCTTTTTTTTTTGTTTTTTCCAAAGACAAAAGACCCAGAGCTGCATCTTTTTCTGAATGACTACACCTCAGTATTCACCGTCACGCAGACTGGTATCACTCGCTTCCTCACCTTACTTCAACCTGTGGACAGGGAGGAACAGCAAACCTACACTTTTTCGGTAAAGAAGTTTCATGTATCCATGTATGCTTGCAACTTAAAAGGAGATCTGATTAAAACTAGAAAGGTCAATAATTTGATAAGAAAATTGCAGTGTTTTTTAAGTGTTGCCAGAGAGACTATAAATAAAAATAAATTTTTCACATACATTTTTTCCCTTTCCCTGTTTGTAAATTTGTGTTGAACTTAGATTGAGAGGAGTGTAGTCTTTACCATGCACTCATACTTGACTTAAGTTAAAAACTAAACTAGAATCCAGAAAGCAAAAGATGATTTTCTAATCATTTCTGGTTTTGTTAATATTGTTACATTTTAAATTTTGTCACGGAGTTAGGCCAGTGGTTCTTAACCGGGATTTTTGTTTTTCTCTCGGGGGACATTTGGCAATGCCTGGAGGCATATTTGGTTGTCACAACTATGAGAGGACACTACTGGCATCTGGTGGGTAGACACCAAAGATGCTGCTAAACATCTTATAATTCATAGAGCAGTCCCCTTCCCCCAATCAAACAATTATGTGGTCCAGATCATCCATAGCACTGGGGTCGAGAAACCCCAAATTAGGGTTTCTAAGTATCTGAACTAAAAGTGTAAGTTATTAAAGCTGTGATTGTAAATAATTATCATGAGTGAAAAATATATACACATATGTAAGTCTAGTAGGATTCAATGGAGAATACAGATGAAAAAGAAGTTCTAACTAACATTTCAATTTCTGAATTAGATTTTGTTCAGATGCGAGAGAAAAATGAGCTGAGAGAAAGTTGCTAGTTATGGGATATATAGGAGGAGTACTCAAAAAGTATGGAAAATGTGTATGGAAATTCTTTCTGGAGAAGTCTGCATGGCAGAAGATCAGAGCTTCCAAAACACTCCATGTGACAGTTAGGTACAGAGTGCATTTCAGAAGTTATTTGGACAAGGATGGCGGTAACATAGCACCAGTTTTGCTTGTCTGGTCTCATATATCATTATTATTTAATGTTGATGAGTTCTCTCAAAATGGCCAGTTTTTAAAGAACGAGAAAAATATCACACATTTAGGGTTCCCACTTTCTTGAATGATATTAGCATGCTGACTATAAAAGCAGCCATTACAAATAAAATATGTAAAAACAAAGAATATCTTGCAAATTTTTTAACGATTAACTTGTAGTTAACTTCAGAGAATCAATAATGTTATTGATCCACTTTAACTTTATTTTTTTAGAGGTTTTTGCTATAGGGCGCGTGTGCTCGCCAGAGAGACAGAGAGAGACAGAGAGACAAAAAGCGAGAAATCACCCCCCAGGAGGGATGGCCATGCCGCAATCCCTTCTCCCCCATTCTCCTCTCAGGATCTTGGGCACGCACGCACATGCACCCGGCGTGAGTTTAAGCCACCGGGTCCGGGATGCTAACCGTGACTGACTACATGGGAGTCCAGCGACAGAGTCATTATGCTAACTGCTGGTCCCAGTCCACTTTAACTTTTTAAGCCATATTCCATGTCTACTTATTTAAAATGTCCTTGGAATTAAACACATTAAAATAAAATGACATCTTCAATAATTGCTTCTTGGGACATTAATCTACTTTGAATATACGTAGTTATATATACTTTTTTGCTCCCTCTTATGGAAAAAGCATCTTAGAAAACTTTTTAAATTATAAATCACATGTGACATATATATTAAATTGTAAAAGTGAATTCAATACTGTTATATTTGTATGACATCTCTGTTAAGTGTACTTTTTCACCACCCAAAGATAACAGCATTTGATGGTGTGCAAGAAAGTGAGCCAGTTATTGTCAATATTCGAGTGATGGATGCCAACGACAACACTCCAACCTTCCCTGAAATATCCTATGATGTCTACGTTTACACAGACATGAGCCCTGGGGATAGTGTCATACAGGTAACTATCCAAATTCTGTGACGATGTGCTCAAAGCAGTTATTTCTATGGATATCACACAATGCATTTCTAAATAAATTGCCTTAAAAATGAAATAAATGTCAGGATTTTTGTATAGCACATGTCACTTAAAAAGCTTAAATTTATATTTACTTTTCCAATAAGAGTGTATTAATACAGATTCTAACATAGACTTTACTAGTTATTTGAGTTAACTATTGCTATTGACCTGTTTATATTTCATTTTTATAAAGTTAATATAGTTATTAAATATACTGAACATATAGTTTAAATCTTCAAGCTACCTTGTACTATTATAGAAATGAATTAAATTTCCTTTGGTGATAAATACAGAAAACTGTATTAATAAATAATATATCAGTAGATAATTTTATGAGATATTGATTACCTGGATGAAATGGAATTATTACAAAAGGGAAAATTTAGGTTGGGTGGCAAATGGCTCTTTTGAAAGCACACTAATTAGGCAAAAGCTTTATCTCTGATTTGTCTTATTTTTCCATTAAAATAAACAGTGAGTTAAAACAAAATTTTGTTTTCAGACTAATCTGAGTATAAATAATAAAGTAGTAATGTTCTTCATTAAGGACTTTCAGGAATCAGGAGTAATTGAATCTAGTATTTCCCAAATTCCCTGGATATCACAATTTTTCCTGGGAGGTGTTTAAAAATATTGATGATCAGAATTCACTTCAGCTTTTCTGAATCTGAATCTCTATGACACTTAGGTCCTCAATATTTAAAAAAAAAAAAAAAAAAAAAACAAACACCACA